CTGCCTCCTGAGTGCTGGGACTAAAGGCGTGTACCACCACTGCCTGGCCAGAGAGTAGGTTTTCTTTAATACATCCTAAGTTGCCCGTGCACCAATGAAAGGTCATATATTCAGGAATAAAAGAGCAGCACAAATTGGATTTGATGGATGAGGAAAAAAATAAAAGATACACAGTTGAGTGCATAAGAAAGGGAGGCATGGATTTGGGAGGAGCTGGTGAAGATGGCTAAAAGCCGGGCAGTGGTGGCACATGCCTTTAATCCCAGCATTTGGGCAGTAGAAGCAGTCAGATCTCTGTGAGTTCGAGATCAGCCTGGTCTACAAGAGCTAGTTCCAGGACAGGCTCCAAAGCTGTCTCGAAAAACAAACAAACAAAAATTCTTAAAGAACTAATTAAAAAGAAAAACAACAATGAAATCCAAACAAACAAGCAGTTTGGGGTTTAAGGAGACCAAGCCATTTCAGATGAGATTAAATGTTCTTCAAAAGAAATCCCTGCAAAATTTATACACGATGGGGAATGCTAGAAACACCTTGACTGTCCAGAGTAGGCTATCTGTTGGTGTGGTGATGCTTGCATGTACACCAGTCCTTCAGAAAAGGCAGGAGGGTTGTGAGTTCAAGGTCAGCCCCGGTTACCTGAGACCCACCATCCATCCCCACCCTCCCCTACAGTGGAAAATGAGTAGGGGATTTAGCCAAGCAAATGCTGTAAACTCCCAGGAACAGACGTGCAGAAACTAGGCCCACTGCCGTGGCTGCTTCGCAGTGGTGCTACTGGCCAGCCAGGCTGACCAACAGCATAATGTGCCTTTGGCCCCAGTCAAGCTGCCTTCCATAGGATAACATAAAAAATTACTTCTTATTGACTCTGGTGGGATGCTTTTCTTGTCGAATGATCTCAACAACCTGGAGAAGGCTTCTGCAGAGTGACTTACACCATCAAGGAGGAGGGATATTTTAACCCTCACAATAGCAAAATTAACCCTTGAAGGTAAGGCTGAATTCTACCTAGGAGCAAAACTTCAAAGGCTGGGAATTCCAGCCCTCACAAAGGGTCATTATTGTTTCTCCATTTTAATGTTTTGAGATAGTCTTATTCGGTAGCCCAGGCTGGCCTTGAACTCCAAGCGTGCCTTTTGCCTCAGCTTCCCAAATGCTGGCATTAAAGGTGTGCGCCACCACCGCCCAGCAGGATGTTATTTTATGAACTTAGGATGGGCTTGGGTTTGCTCTTCTGTTAGGGTTTCCTGTCCCCCTGCAAACAAAAGGGGAAACGAGAGCATAGGGGGTACGCATGCTCAACATCTCCAGGGATAAACACTGCCATTTTAAAGACATTTTTATTTTAAAAATTATTTTTATTATACATGTATGAACGTTTTGTCTGCATGTATGTATGTGCAGCATGTGTGTGCCTGGTGCCTGAGGAGGCCACGATAGGATGCTAGCTTCCCTGGAACTGAAGTTACAGATGGTTATAAGACACCATGTGGGCACTAGGAACCAAACCCCAGTCCTCTGCAGGAGCGGAAGTCACTGAGCCTCCTCTCAGCCCTAAAGATTTCTTCCTATTTGGGAGTGTGTGTGAACGTGAGAATCTGTGCTCACGAGAGCAGCACCCATGGAGGTAAGAAGAGTGTGTCAGATCCCTTGAAAGTGGAGTTACAAATAGTTGTGAACTGCTCACTACTGGTGCTGGGATCCAAACTTGGATCCTCTGCTAGAGATGTACAGTTTTTATCTGCTGAGCCACTGAGCCGGCTCCCCATCCCACCTTTTCTTTTTTGAGACTTGCAGCAATCTGTTTGCCCCCCCCCCATCTCCTATGTGGAGGTGTGCAGCTCCATGCCTGGCCTTACATTATAGTTATGTATTTGTTTGTGTATATGTGTGCACGAGCTTGCGCGGGTGCATGCTTGTGTAGAGGTCAGAGGACAACTTTCTGGAGCTGATTTTCTCCTTGCACCACATGTATTCCAGGGATCAAACCCAGGATATTAGGCTCAGAGGTAAGGGCCTTTACTGAGTCACCTCCCCAGCCTCATACTTTAAGTTTGAAAAGTCTGAATCAGAGCTCTTACTAAGGTAGTGCTGAAAACACTTGAGTGTTGCAAAGACAAATTATTAAACTACATAGACAAAGTGAATACATATACACACATATATATATGTATACATCTGTATATAATATATATATATATATGTTATGACATATCACCTTTGAAACTCAAAACTCCCTCAATGTTATTGATCTTAAAATGAGCCTGTGTCTATCTAAAGTTTTGGTAAGCGGTTCCCTCCTTGTCACATGAATTTTGTACATACAATATATAAATTTTGACTTTGAAAAGAATAGAAGTTCTCTCTCTCTCATCTATCTATATATTGATTTTGTGTTTCTGTTTGTTTTTTTTTTTTTCTTTTTCAAGACAGGGTTTCTCTGTGGCTTTGGAGCCTATCCCGGAACTAGCTCTGTATACCAGGCTAGTCTCGAACTCACAGAGATCCGCCTGCCTCTGCCTCCCGAGTGCTGGGACTAAAGGCGTGCGCCACCACCGCCCGGCTGATTTTGTGTTTCTGATGAAGCATCTGTTGCCCTTGTGATAGAGGAGTGTGCATATGTCACACACATACACTATTGTTTTTTTGAGATTGAGTCTTTAGGAGCCCAGGCTGGCCTCAAATTTTCCACGTAGTTGAGGATGACCTTAAAGCTGAGGATGACCTTGAACTGTTCTCTCTTCGGTGTCCTGCTGGGGTTCCAGGCCCGGGGAAGGCCAGGCTGAGCAAGGATCTGCTTTTTTTTTTTTTTTTTTTTTCGAGACAGGGTTTCTCTGTAGCTTTGGAGCCTGTCCTGGAACTAGTTCTGTAGACCAGGCTGGTCTTGAACTCACAGAGATCCGCCTGCCTCTGCCTCCCGAGTGCTGGGATTAAAGGCGTGTGCCACCGTCGCCTGGCTGCAAGGATCTGCTTTTAAAGACAAGGGGAAAGTCAGTAAAAAAAAAGCAGGACTCTCTTTGGAGTTGTTTTATTTAGTCCTCCCACCCCACAAGTGCTGGGAACCAAACCTATAACCTCCATTTAACCTCCGGCTTGCTAGACAGGCCTTTTACCCCTGAGCTATACCCTCGTCTCATTCTAGTTTATCTTTATTTGGCAAATGATTCCAGCACTATTTGGACCTAAATTTCCGAGAAAGAAAAAAGGAAGTGGAAAACCAACAGCCCCCCCCCTCCCCTTCCACTTCAGTGATAAGCTGCAGCTGGCTTCATGGTAACCCCTCCCTCTCCAGGCTGCAGCGCGTTTGTCTTCTCTCCCCCCCCCCCACCCCTCAGAAACAGCCCTCCTCCCCCAAGCCCCCGCCCAAGTGGTCCCATGGACTTGCGGTGGTATTGTGGATTCTGAGTTTAAAACAACCCTCTGCCAAGCGGGGAGGAGAGTAAAGCCAGCAAGCCCACTGTAGAACACGGCGGGGTGCGGTAGGGAGGGGGGGGGGGCAACTGCCCCTTGTAAATCCCCGGAGTCCCTGTAACGTAAAGGCGACAAGGAAAGGGGAAATTTCCTTTGGGAATTTACGCAGCTGCGGATAGTAACAGACACAGAGAAGCTGAACCGTGATGGGGGTGGGGTGGTTCGGAAAGAAAGCCCCCAGTACACCAGCTTCTCTGACCACACAGGGTGATTGGCGCAGTGCGGGTGGCATCAGGTACTGCTCTAGGACCTCGAGGGTCCAACGTCTCTCGACCTACAGTGCCAGTCAGGAGTGTAATGCAAGCGCTTTCGCACGATACCCTCGGACTTGCCCGCCTGCAACCAGGGTCCTTTCGTCTGTCCCCCATGTCTCAGTCTTATTCACCTTTCGGCCTCCCACAGGTTCTTTTGGTGGGCGCGCCGTCAGGATTGGTGGAAATGAAGAGGAGGCAGTGGGTGAGAGAGAAGTGAGGGGCTTCTTATCATCTCGTGAGACATAGACGGGATGACCCCTAGAACAAGGCCACAGCTCCTCCTCTTCAAAGTGAGGGACTCCAGGTGACAAATCCTTACAGACGTTTCCGACAGACAGCCCCCCCGGGACAGGCATACAAGGGCCTTCTTCGGGTGCCACTGGTACTTGGCAGTATCCGAGGCCAGTGGTTGCAGTTTCCAAAGTGTTTGGCTGCAGCCCTGGTATCAAACCTCTCTCTGAACTGCCAGGATCCATTAGATCCCGTGAAGCCCCTCACAGCTCTGACCCTGGGGTGCTGTCTCCCCTCACCCAGACGTCCTCCCCTGAGGTCCTGGTCACCTTTTCATCTCTCCAAGAACTCTTTCAGGCCAACCAGCCAGCCACAACCAGCATGGTTTTGTATTACTTGAAGAGTCTACAGACCCCCGTCTCCCTTTCGAGTTAGTCGTACCAAATAAGCCTTCAGTTCCTATTTGGGACAAGATAGTGGCTGGGGCAGGTTCTCCCCCAGGGGGAGTTTCCTCCAAAGTGGACGGCTCCACCGCCAGCCCCGGAGTGGACGCCTTTCGGTGCTCCACGAGCCTGTCCAGGCAGTCTCGTGGGTGGCAACTGGCCCTAAAGCTCAGGCTGCCGGGGAGGTGACTGGTCGTGCGGCTGCAGGAGAAATTGCTCCTCCTCCAGCCCCGGGGCTGGTTACAGAGCACTCCGGGAGTGAGAAGGGGGTGGTTCTCCAGGGACAGGTACTTTCCGACTGTAGGAAACTCGCTCAGCTCTAGGCGTCCCGGGACCCCTTCAACACCGGGGTCCCCAGGGAGCAGCCCTGGGAGGGGCGGGGCGCCCTCTGTCCCTCACGTTGGCTTACAGCTTCGGGTTCTCCCGCGCGTGTCTTTCCTTGCTCCGGGAAAAAGCGGCGCGGTGGCAGCGGTGCGGTCAGGAGAGGACCGTGGCTGAGCTCAGGACACCAGCTGTGAAGGCGCCCCGCCCGCCGCTCAGCTTCCACCCCTCCCGGCGGCAGCGCAGGGAAAGCCCCCGCGGCTCCGCCCACCCCAGGGGCTTTTCTCCAGTCGCCAGTGACTTTGCTTCGGGAGCGCAGCCGCCTGGCGCGGCTTTCCTCCAGGCTGGAGCGCGCAGGGGCCCCTGGCTCTTCTGCGAACGCAAGAGGCAAGAATCGGTGACCTCGGGGCGCGCCCCGAGTCCGGGTCCCTTAACCCGCACCCCAGCCCCCGGCCCGCGCCTAAGCCTCCAGCATGGTGCTGCTGGCTGGGCCCGGGCCGGAGGGCGGCGGGACACACTGCTTGTCGTCCCCGCAGTCGCCGACGCCACCCCGGGGAGCGCAGACAGGGGACGATCCAGGGGACTACGAAGAGTACGAAGACTTCTCAAGTCTGCCGGACACCCGCAGCATAGCATCAGACGATTCCTTCTATCCTCCCGGAGGCGAGGAGGAGTGCGGCTCAGGGAGCGCCGAGTGCATCCCGGAGGGCGTCCCCGAGGCGGCGACCCTTCTGCGCGCCGCCTGCACCAACGACGTGGGGCTGCTGCGGGCGCTAGTGCTGCGCGGGCCGAGTTCCGAGGAGGTACGAGAGACTGACCGCAACGGCCGGGTAAGCCTGGGTTTGGGTTGGGTCCTCTCCACTCTCCTCCCTTGCCCAGACCCCCGTGGCACCCTATTTTTGGATTGACTGCCCCCCCCCCCCGAGCACCCTTTCCTTCTTGTGCGGCATACGGTAATGGGACACTATTTTCTCTGCTCAGGGGCGGAACCTGCGGAAGATGACCCATCCTAGCTTCCTAAAATGTATCCCGGTCCCGGTCTCTTTTCCGCCCCGGGGATCCCCTACTTCTCCCTGGAGGTTGGGGGAGGGTCCCGGAGTCCCTTTCTATTCAGTGCCGTAATGACTGCTACATTTCCCCAGGCCCCAGGTAGGTGACGGTCTCTACTCCTCTGCGGGGTGCCACCTTTTCCTACCCTCGCTCTCCAGTCCCATTTGTTCCCTCGGCCCCGCCCGCTGCCCTTGCCTAACACGTTGGTGTCCGGAGTAAGATCTGAAAGCTACAGTTCCTTTCCTTACCCAAACCGCCCTGTCTTCCCTTGCTTCTCCTAATGGCCCGCGCGGCGACCTGCCAGCCTTATCTGCGGTCACCGCTGCAGGTCGAAGCCTGCGAGCCCTCACAGCCACCCTTCAGGCTGGTCCGGGGCTGCGCCGCACAGTAGCGGCGCGCACTGGGGGTCGGCAGTCAGGGAAGTAGGGAGCGAGGCAGTCTACATTAATTATGCCAAGGCTCAGAGAAAAAGCAAGAAAGTTTCAAAACAGGAAAGGAAAAGTTGGAGAGCTCTTCCCACTGATCACGGACAAGGAAAGTGACCCCATTAGTCTCTTCTGGGTGGACAAACAAGCTCACCTGATTTCCATGTTCCCGGAGGCTCCGGGGTTTCTGCAGACTCAGCCTTGCACAAATTAGGGACGCCTGTGCTTCTGCTTGGGCGTCACAGCTGACGGAAAATAAGCGCTTTAATATAGGGACGTGGTGACCCCGTGCCTTTGGCTTATCTTGGGGCTGTGTGTATGCAGTGGTTTGCCTCTGACTGCAGTCTGGGTCAGACTTTGGCAAGTATGAAACCAGTGTGTCACTTTCTGGCTTTCGATAACCCGGCGGCACTGAACTTGGAGGAACGGTTCGTGATTGTGATATGTCAGGGAGACCTGTATGATGAGGGCAGTACTACCCTGGTGCCCTGTGGTGGCCGTTCCAGCTAGCACGCCGTAGGAAGAAAGACTCCAGGGGCTGTTTCTCTGCTCCACTTTCAGTTTAACTAAGCGAGTTTTCCGGGTCAGGTGTTCCCAGTAGAAACCTCTCCTTTCTGAGCAAGCAGAGCCGCGTCTTGAAACGATCGCCTGTGACCTAGGGTCTCTATGTTTGGGGTGCTCTTCAGCTGGAAGCCTTCACCTGTGAGTGGCCACTGGCCTCTTCAGGTTTATTGTGCTTTCTGGAGGGGGACGGGCGGACAGACAAACAATCAAAGTATGAAAGCGGCCAGAAAAGCTGAGACGTCAAACCACCCGGGAGGCTTGAGCAGGGCAGCTCAAATTCCAGGACCCCTGTAGAGCCCCTCCCCCGCCCGGAGGCCCAGGGCCAGGTAGGAGCCTCCGAGCAGTTCCAGTTTTCCCTTAGAGACACGGTCCCTTCGGCACAGTTTGTGAGCCTGAAGTGCCGCCCTGCCGCGGAGCCCGGAGAAGTCCGGTAGGCTCGGCCCTCTTTACCTCCCCCCTCCCCCCCCCATTACTCCGTCATTTGCTTCTCTCTTGTTCTAAAGAGAATGTAGTCCAGCCTGTAGTCCTTGTGCTAGGTATTTTGCTCTGTTTTTTTTCCCCCTTCCCTTGCTTATGAAGATCGAGACTGAAGGGCCTTGGTTCTGCTTTGAGCCTCCACCTCTTTGTACCCATCAGATGCCCCTGGAGACCCGAGGAAAGGGCCCTGGGCTTTTTAATCTCTGTGTCAGAGGACTAGGTCCATGTTCTGTGGACCCTGTGAAAGCAACAGACTGCATTCTTTTCTTTTAAATTATTTTTATTTTATGTGCCTGCATGTATGTCTGTGTGAAGGTGTCAGATCCCCTGGAACTGGAGTTACAGACAGTTGTGAGCTGCCATGTGGGTGCTGGGAATTGAACCTGGGTCCCCTGGAAGAATAGCCAGTGCTCTTAACTGTTAAGTCATCCCTCCAGCCCCCAGATTGCATTCTTACCATTAGTTATTAAGGAGAAAGCAAGAGACTTAGGGAGTCGGGAGGCAGAAGACATTTTGGTCAGGTCAGGCAGGTGGAGTCAGGGGCTGGTGGCAGATGTACTGTGGTTTGGTCATGGCCTGGAGCAGAGACGAGGGGCTGTGGGAGACAAGGCTAGACAGGACCACCTAGGCAAGGTGAAGAGTACCCAGCCTCCCTAGCTGCCTGAGAAATACAGGAAACTAGAGTGTCAGCTCTCCAGGGACCCCTCCAGTCTGTAGCAGTTCACGTGCCTTCTAGTGATCACGTGACTCACTCCCTCACTGAGTCCCTGTCTTAGGGTACTTTCTCTGGAAGGCCTTTCCACCCCCCCCCCGCCCCCCATCTAAGCCCAGAGCTGGCTTAGCTATGTATTGAGACACCAAGGACTGAGATTGTCCCTAGATGGTCATTTGAGCACCAGGAGGACTGTCTTTGGGCAGAGAGGGGAAAAGTACAAAGGTCCTGCCTGAGGCAGGAGCAGTGACTGTCCCAGCCTGGTCTATGGGTTGATCATTTGTCCTAAAGTAAACTTTAAAGCAGGTCCAAGAGCTTTGGCGGAATAACAGAGGGGGGGTGACAGCTGGTGAGTGCCTCTGAAGCAGGGCTTCTCAACCTGTGGGTCGAGACCCCTTTGAATAACCCTTTCATGGGAGTCACGTGTCAGATCTTTATATCATGATTCATAACAGTAGTAAAATTACAGTTATGAAATAGCAACTAATAATTTTATGGTTGGGGGTCACCACAACATTGGGAAACTGTATGAAAGGGTCGCAGCATCAGGAAGGTTGGGAACCGTGGCTGTGGAGGCTTTTGGAGGCTGTTGAAGTTGCTGAATAGCTCACTTCTTCAGAGGCCCAGTGTGAGCTACAGGTAGCTGAGGACCGCATGGGAAACTAGGGGATGTTACTGGCCATGCAAATTTGCTGCCAAATCAGTGTTCTGGAAGGATCTCAGGACCGACTGTGTAGCATTTAAATATTTATCACTTCATTTTCCAGGAGCACTGAACACATGCTCTTCCTGTTTTTGGGCGGAGGTTGTTTGGTTCCTCTCATTAAAGGATGGAACCCTCCAGACACCCTTTTCCTGATGGTTTTCTTCGCATCGTAGCGTGTAAGTCAGGCTTACTCCTGCAGCCCTGGCGGCTCTCCTTCGTTAACAGCAAGATGGAAGACATATTTGTATCATTGTAGTTGTGGTGGAAGGGCAGGCTGATGTCAGACTCCTGGGCCAGACTATGTCTGTGAAGCCTAAAGTGCCTCTGTATGGTGACATCTCAGGAAATTTCCCAACGTCACTGTTCATTTATTACCAACACAGCAAAGTCCCCCAGCGTGGGGTGCCTCCCCTCACGCAAGAGGCTTGCATCTCCTGTTTTACAGGATACTTGGGTGTGATCAACACTTTCCCCTTGAAACGCAATTGAGAAATTGGTTGCATATTTTTAATGAAGGATTTATGATGAATGTAGGAATCCCCTCTTTTTAAAGTGAGGGTCACAGCGTTGGAATTCATGCACTGTCCTCCATCCTCCTAGGCCTCAAATGCCCTGTGCGTGCATAGAAACTGGCTTACTCACAGGGAAGCTGAACTTTCAGGTCTGTGCTAGTTACTATGGAGAGTGGGTTCTGGCCTCGACCCTCCAGCACTTGCCGGGGGCCAGTGCACATAGGGAAAGGCTTCCTTTGCTGTTGTCTGCCTCCCATCTTGTTGTAGAAACATTGTGATTGATTACAAGCCCCGCAGTATGGAGCTTGATTTTATGTGGGTCCAAGGGGTTCAAACTTAGGTCCTGGTGCTTGTGTGGCCAAGGCTTTACCCACTGAGCCTCCTCCCTGGCCCACTGTGTTCTTGTTTGGGTTTCACTCTGGACTGTCGGGAAGGAGAGAAGGGGGCACTGGATAGTGTTGTACTGGGAACTCCAAGGATTGCATTAAAAGTGAATCCGCTCAGCTTTTGGGAACCTATTCTCTAAGCCTCCTTCTGCCTTGTAGGGAGAGTTTTGTCTTGGTCAGCTTGATATGCCACGCTTTGTTGACACCCATGGAAGGCCTGCCCCTTTCTGACTGGAGAAGATTGGGGTGGGAGGTGATGGAAAGTGGGGAGAGGGAACAGGAAGAGAGAAGGGGGAAACTTTGGTTGGTATGTAAAATAAATGAAAACATTTAATACTAAAAAAGGTGAATCAGCTCAAGTGATGAAGTGAGCCTGGGGAGACAGGGCCTGTGGTAGGTGGCCAGCTCTTCCTCCTTGGGGGTGTGTCCAGGCGCAGCATCCACAGAAAGGAGCTTATAGGTTAGGTATGAGGATATCAGTTATCTGTGGTTGTGTAGTGTTTATATGTTACTCAGTCCTCTGTACCTACAGCAAATATATTGAGAAATATATTTGAGAAAAACATATTAGTCTGGCTTCATACTTGTGTGGTTTCCAGCCCAAGCTCCTACAGGCCTCTCACTTTTTGCCTCTTCGTGCTGCATGGCCGGGACTGCAAGGCCGTGGTCCAGGAAGTTTCCCTGGATGCAGCAGTAGGCCCCTCAGTCTTGTAGTCTCCTTTGAGGACTATACGAACCTCATGCCTAGCCCCACCTTCTGTTTATTAGGAGTACTACCAAGTTTTTAACCCAGGGGCTGTACAGAACATTTACACAAGTCATAGCACCATGGAACTCACCCCGAGGGAACCCCAGGGGTTCAGTAGTAACCGCTCTGCTGAGGCTAACCAAGTGCAGCCTATGGAGGCGAGATTTTCCATTTGCTCCCAGCTGGTGGTGAACTGCAGATGGCAAGACCAGGATGGTCCCTGCTGATGACTCATCTCTGCTCCTCGTGA